ATGCATGGTTGACAGCAACTGAATTTCTGTTATTACTTCCAAACTCTCATGTCCTATGGCTTTGTACCTCATTTTCAAGATTTGACCTTAAGTTCTCCATCTGTGAATTTAACATCCCACTAAATGTATGTTAAATTTAAATTTTATACTATGAGTGTGTGAGCCATAGTACTAATTTAAAATAAGTTATTTTAGCATTAAAAGATGACTCAGTAGTCAGTTGGTATTTTTACTGTTGGTGAGGTTACTGTTTAGCATAGTAGAATACATGTTATGTTCTTGTCTATTTCTAGTCACAGATAATGAATGAACTATTGTAACTCAAAATTCCATAATTTAAATAACAAAACTTACGTGTCATTCTTGATTTAATCAAATGACTTAGTCACAGTAATCATTATCTGTTGCAGCAAGGGAATTTTAGGAAGGGGCACCAAAACTGGCCAACTGTCCCAGGTGGAACTCTGCTTTAAGAAATAAGAGGGGGGTATCCGGGTGTGGTGGCTCATGCCTGTAATCCCAGCACTGCGGGAAGCTGAGGTGGGTGGATCACTTGAGGTTAGGAGTTTGAGACCAGCCTGGCCAACATGGTGAAACCCCATCTCTACTAAAATGAAAATACAAAAATTAGCTGCATGTGGTGGTACATGCCTGTAATCCCAGCTACCTGGAGGATGAGGCACAAGACTCACTTGAACCTGGAAAGCAGAGGTTGCAGTGAGCTGAGATTGCACCACTGCATTCCATCCTGGGTCACAGAGTGACTCTGTCTCAGAAAAAAGAAAAGAAGTGGGGGCAAGGCACGGTGGGCTCACACCTATAATCCCAGCACTTTAGTAGGTGGAGGCAGGTGGATCACTTAAGGCCGGGATTTTGAGACCAGCCTGGTCAACATGGTGAAACTTCATCTCTACTATTAATAAAAATAAAAAATTGGCTGGGCATGGTGGTGCATACCTGTAATCCCAGCTACTGGGGAGGCTGAAGCACAAGAATCGCTTGAACCTGGGAGGCAGAGGTTACACTGAGCTGAGATTGCACCACTGCCCTCCAGCTTGGGTGACAGAGCACCCTGTCTCAAAAAAAAAAAAAAAAAAGAAGTAGGGGATTTCTCTTTTTGTTTTATTGTGTAACATTGATGTTTATTACAGCCTAGGTAGTCTCAAAATAGGAAATTATCTTGCTGGTTTCACCAGCTGGGCAATTTACATTTATTTAGTCTTCTGTTTATTCCATTTAAATGTTTATTTTTTATTTATTTTGCCATTACTGTTCAAAGGAAAAGGAGAGCTCTATTCAGAAGACCACATCAGGCATCCTGTAGCATTTCTTATGTTTCTGTATTTTTTGTCACTGTGGTTCTTTTCCTGTTTCTGTGCCATGACCTCTTTGAGGAACTGAAGAATGGTCATTGTGTATATGTTTAGAATAGAATAGGTAATAAAAAAAACTTCCAAATCTCAATGGCCTAACAAAACAAAGGTTTATTTCTTGTTAACATCACAGACTCTGTGGATGAGGTGATCCTCCTGAATCTTATAGCCATGCCTCGTGAATTTGAGGTTCCAAGATCATTATAGAAAGAGAGGGCGGGGCATCTCAGGGATGATTTTTAGGGTCTAAGCTTGGAAGTAGCTTACATTACTTCTGCTCAAATTCTGTTGGCCAGAATTCATTCTAATATTCCCAAATAGTATCTGTGTGTTCTTTCCTTTTCCTAGACTCCTGTTCATGGAGTTTCTGCTACATTCCATCCTTCTAGTCACCAAACATCTCTTTGCTTCTTTCTCTACACATGCATAACACACTTAGTCCCTCTCCTTAGGGAGAAATCCCAAAGTCTCATTCTATCACTGCAGCTGGTCCCAAATCCATGATCTCCAGATGATGTACAATAGTATATCAGGTTTAGATATGATTTCTGTTGATCTCAGGATCAGTGAACTAAGAAGGCAAGTTAACTGTATCCTTGTCCTCCAACCACACCCATTGTTCAGTGGTAGAATTTGGATAGCATAGTAGTCACTGGTTCTTGGCAATTCTGAAATCTTACTCCTAACCGCTGTGTGTGGGAAGTTACTTGAATGGGCCTGATTTTGTTTTCTGGAAAGAACACCTTTGACCATAGTTTTTCCTGGTTGCTGGCTCTGTCCAGGGGGTTTGTTCTTTTCATTATCGATGTAGACCACATCTAAATGGTATTGGAAGCATGCCCTCCTTAGGGGTTGTATGGGCTTCAAAATCTGCCACCTGCTTCCAGGAGGTTGAATGCCATACATTGTTTTAATTTCAAACATTATGGCAGGATTTTGTAAACTCTGTGTTTGGGTTATTTGTCCATTCATTTCCCTCAACATTTGGAGGCATGGAAAGAAAAATATTTGGTAGGCATCTAATGTGTTTACTTCTAGTCATTTTCTAATTCCCGTATCTGTTATTCCTATACATAGTTACCAACTTCTCTCATTTTTTTGTCCTCATGCGTCTGCTTCTCTCTCCTCAGTGGCAGCTGTGTGGAGGCCATCTGAGGCAGACTGGTTCAAAGGCTGCCTTCACTTTAATCTGATCTTTGCCATAGGGTTGCATCCCTCTGTTTGAGTTTTATTGGGCTTCTGTTGCTCAGAATCTCTTGTGTTAATTTATTGTTTAGGAAGTCTGAAGTAGTCTGATTTTTCATTAATACAAGGTCCTTATTTTTTATTTTTATTTATTTATTTTTTGGGGGCAGAGTCCTACTCTTGCCCAGGCTGGTTTTGAACTCTGGACCTCAAGCAATCATTCTGCCTTGGACTCCCAAAGTGCTGGAATTACAGGCATGAGCCACCATGACTGGCCCGAATTTTTAGATTCTCTACATTAATTTTTTTTTTTTGGCCAGGAACAGAAAGTCTAGTGTAGACCAAAGGTGTTCTCTCTTCCTCTCTGTTTTTATGTCTCCTCTCAAATCAGCCACTTTTTCCCTGAGCTCATGCTTCTTAAGGTACATTCCCAAGGCAGCCAATAGTATCGGAACACATACTATAACTTTGTTTCCAGCTACTTCTCTTACAACCTCAAGTTCATCAGGCAGTCTGCTTCCAAGTTATAGGAGATATGTTGCTAAGTAGCTTGCCACTGCCTTTTGTTTCCATCTTTTAGCCTCCAGTGCTTTTATCTTCACTATCAGACTGCTAAGCCAGTGCCCTACAGCTTCATTTGTTTGTTGTTGTTGTTGTTGTTTTTGGTTTCTTTTTGAGACGGAGTCTCATACTGTTGCCACTCATACTGTAGTGCAGTGGCCTGATCTCAGCTCACTGCAGTCTCTGCCTCCTGGGTTCAAGCAATTTCCTGCCTCAGCCTCCCAAGTAGCTGGGACTATAGGCGTGTGCCACAATGCCCAGCCATTTTTTTTTGTATTTTTAGTAGAGATGGGGTTTCACCATATTGGCCAGGATGGTCTCGATCTCCTGACCTCGTGATCTGCCTGTCTCAGCCTCCAAAGTGCTGGGATTACAGGCATGAGCCACCACGGCTGGTATAGCTTGATTTTAATGACAGCCGCATTAGTGCCACTTCAAGGCACTAATTTCTGTTAGGATAATGCTAGCTGTGGTAACAAATTGTTGCCCAAATGTATAATGGCTTAAACATAATACATTTATTTTTTCATTGTATTATAATCCTGAGCAGTACCAGGTCAGGGAAAGGCAGGGATTGGGGTGGGGTTGGGGAAAATTCTACTCTATGCAGTCATTCAGGCACTGGCAGGCTGACGGAATCTGTTATCTTAAACACAGGGCTGAAACTGAAGCTGAATAATCGTCTAAAACGATGTAGCTTGTCAGTGGAGGTTCTAAGATTCTCACCACTTGGTCTGGCTTCAAAGCCCATGCCTTTTTGCCCACACACTATTATCTAGGATTGAAAAGACCTGGACCAGTTGCCCAGCCAAAGTTTGTGTTCTGTATTCAATATGTAAGCCAATCAGAAAACTGGTAATTGCTTAACACCCGTACTCAGTTGCTGGGAGTGTATTACTTCTTTATCTGGAACTCCGCATGTTTCCTTGCAACTTCTCTCTAGGGCCTCCATTTCTTGGGGCCATACAAAATAAAAGATTATCTTTATCACTTGGAGAACACAATTTTCATTCCCTTTTTGGTTATTTTGTTTCTAAGTGAAAATTTCCCTATGATTTCACTGTACCTTAAGATATTGAATACTGGTTGTTCAGATTTAGACAGCTTCTACTTTGTCTGGAGTCCTTTAAAAAGTTAAGTGCCAGAACTCAACTACATTTTCCCTGTGAGGTCTGATGAACATGGAACAGAATAGAACTATCACCTCTGTAGAATAAAGATTTTTCTACTAACTGTATCTTTGTTTCTCTAGGGTGATACAATTGTGGAGACTGGAGAAGTAATTCCACCAATGAAAGAATTTCCTGATCAACATCATTAAAGATTATGTAAAAATTTAAAAGGCTTATGAATCTAAGTTTGTTCTTACATTACCATATTTACTGAATTTTCTGGAAGAGTGACTTAATAAAGTTTAATCTCAGAAATTGTCATACTTCTTTTGAAGCATTGTACAATTTGAGACTGAGTAATTTAACAATAAATAAAAACTAAACATGCTAAACAAATACCAGAGACCACTTACTTTTTGTGGCCATTTTCGACTTGGAAAACAGGATATGGAAAAGTATTTAGTTACATGTTAGGTTTTTTTCCTTACATAGTACTTACTCTAATTTGGTATCAGGGTATATACAGCAAAGTGAAATATCGCAGTAAACAAATGTAAGAACAGAAAGTCCAGCACTTTTGTTTTAAAGAAATCTGAGTCATTTAAAATAATTTAGAAACTTGATTGAAAAGCTTATTCTAACTATGATCTGATACTCAAAGACTGTTTCGGATCTCGGTTGCTGTATTTTGTCATGAGAAGGTAAAATACTAAAATTTCTATTTGAAAAATGTGCATACTAGTGCTTATTATAAAGGATAATGCAAAAATAAACTTGGGAACTTTGCATTATGATTTTTATTTTTAAATCTCTCATAAGCATGAGGGAAAGAAATGTTATTTGCAGAGAATTAAATCCAGAGGAGTTACAAATTTTCACTCGTCCCAAAAATTCTGTCTGGGTATTTCTTCCTTAGCTGTCGTCTTGCAGCCACCGTTGATGCATAGATGACGTAGCCCCAGGAGATTAAAACGATGGCAAGCAGCAACTAAACCAAAAACCGCAAAAGAGGTGTGAAAGCAAAAAAATTACTGTAATGTGCCTGATATTTCCCTTCGCCCCGGTCAGGTTACTATGTGCCATTGCTAAGGTGGGAATTACAGTAACAAAGTCGAATAAAGGGGGTTCCCGTGGCGGGTACACCCAGCAGCCCTTACGTAAGAAGCGGAAGATCGTATCCTTCAGGAAGAGGCGGAGTCGAGGTGAGGGAGTGAAATGCTTAATTCAAGAATGGATTTTGGAGTTACTGGGTGCTGAAGAAACAGGGTCCTATGCCTGCAGGCCCAGTGAGTCGATAAGGTGGAACCTCGCGAGCCCCGGGACCTACCACTGAATAAATCCAGTCCAGCGTGCGACGACTCACTGGCTTCATGGTAAGAAGGCGGCAGCGGTCCGCGGGAGCCGGCGGGAGCTGCGGGCCTCACGGTAACCTCCCAGGCGGTGGCTGCCTAGCGGCAGCAGCCATCTTTCAGCCGGGCACGGGCGCCCACCCACTCGCTTCGTGCAGCCCTTTCGCCTGCCTCTTCCGCCCGGAGTTGGGCGCGGCATCACGTGATCGGGGGCCTAGCCCGCCTTTTAGCGGGGAAGAAATAAGCGAGAATTTTTTTTTTCTTTCCAACTAGAGAGATCGAGATATGCGTGGTTCCACTGGTTTTCTTTCTAGTTGCAGTGCATTAGTAGTGCAGGATAAGGTGCTGTCGTGTCCATTTAAAAGTTAGTTTGGAAAGCAATCTGTGTTTTAAATATTACATCGGCGTCTAACGCTCGAAGAATTAACGTTTTCTCCCCCGCCCCGCCTGCATCTGATACACGATTTTGATGGACGTTCGTCTGTTCATCTTTGACTTAAAAATAGCACCCACTCTTTTATATTTGACACATCGTTGTGGGAACTCCTGTAAATCGAGCCATTCTTAAACGTATAACTTGATGTAAAAATAATATCTCTAAGAAGAAATAGGTGGGACGCGTTAGCCGCCATAACGTACCAGTCAAGCAACAAGTGTTTGTTGAGCGTGTCTGATGTTCTTCAACGGCCGCGCCTGAGATCCTAAGCCCCGAGCACGGCAGTTTGGCGGGCGAGCGTACCAGTTCAGCTCTAGAATGAGACGCTCACATTCAAGGCCTGAGGAGTAGAATCTGGCAACGGGCCGCTTTAGGCTCTAGACGTTCTTTATACCTCTCAGTATCTTAAGAGTGTCTAGATTTCAGCGAGTGGGAAGGGGAAAAGCAGAGAAAAACGTCTTTTGTTTGGGGAAGAGTCCAGGCCCTGTTTGTTAGGCTGTCCTGTTTCTCCCCAGCCTGGAGGGGATCCCTCTCTGGAGACTTTATAGGATACTGGTTTTGGATCCCGTTGGACTCCCGGTCTTGCTTCCGGGAGATACACAACAGGAGGTGAGACTTCACGTCCGTGTAACAGTTCCCCTCTCTAGACAGTAGAGACAGTTTCGTAACTTCCCGCAGTTTGGTGAGCTTGAAACGACATCGAACTAGTTCTTGTGTTTTCTGGGTAAGTTCAGCCAGTGTCCCGAGCGGCTGAGTACTAGTGACGGTGAGGCTCGTGCTCTCAGCCTGGGAGGGTCGCTCATTCCGGTCTGGCGCGGCGCGGGAGGGGCCGGGTTTCGGCCGGCGCACTCAGCCCCGCCCTCGAGGCTGGCGCGCGTCCGCTGCGCATGCGTGACGAAGGCGGGTGTTGTGTTTTGACGCGCCGGGAGCTGGTGGGGTGGGTGTCGCTCTCTGCCCTGCTTTGGAGCTGCCATTGGTGATGAGCGCTTTGCGTCACAGGGGTCGCAGCCGCCGCTGGGGTCTCCGCTGTCTCGCGAGGAGGGTGAAGCGCCCCCGCCTGCTCCGGCTTCGGAGGGTAGGCGGAGAAGTCGCCGAGTACGCCTTCGCGGATCCTGCCGTCACCGACCTAGCTTTCTGGGCCGCCGGGAGCTTGCGGCGAGCGCCCCAGCCAGGCCTGCGCCAGCATCTTCCGAGGTGAGTGAGATCCGGAACAATGGGGCGCGGGGGTCAGGCTGGCGCTCTCGCCTGGAGCAGCGCCTCGGGACCCGAAGGCTGCGGTCTCGGCCTGCGGGGCCGTCCGGGCCTCGGCGGGCCAGGGCCGGGTTCCCCGGGTGGCTCCTGCAGCGCACCTGTGGATTGATGAGGGCGGGCGGGCGAGCGAGGGTTGCGCTTCCAACAAGCGCTCTCGAGGGGCGCGAGCGTGGCAGTGTACTGGAAAGAGCTTGGTCTCTGGGAAAAACAAAAAAGCAATGAGACTGAATTCGTGGCGTCACCACTTACAGAGTGTGTGACCTTGCCTAGGTCCCCTAAGCCCTTGAATCTGTCTGTAAAATGGGAATAACAATATTTAAGTTCATTATGTAATGCGCCTGGTGCTTATCTTAGGTCTGTCCGGTGGCAGTTCTGAACCAAGGCAAACGACTATCACCGTGGCTCTTGCACGCGTCTGTGCTGTGTTACGCATTCTGGGCAGAAATTGTATGCCTGTGACTTGTTCATCCATTTACTGCAGCTTTCCTCATGGGCTGCTGATTGTAGGCTGGAAAGGGGCAGTGCTGAGATGAGCCACATAGTGATTTAAGAGGAAAACGGAGTAGACCTTTTGATAGGTAATTTTCAAGATTAAGATAAATTAAGAAACAGCTGCCCAAAATTTAAGTTAATAGTGGCGATAGCTTTCTGGTTTTCGTCCATGAAATGCAAAGAAAGCTATACAATCAGCTAAAACCAATCATGCTTGTCTGGAATGAGTCGTTTTAGAGGGGAGCAGTTCCCAACCAGTTCGAATTGGAATTAAATTGGATAGGATCTGGTCAGGTAGATCCTACAACTATTGTGTGTTCTTTTGGAATTGATTAAAATGCAGTTCAGAGAGGTACAGTGATTTTTTTTTTTTAAGGTGACAAGAGGTAGGAACCAGTTTATTTTTAATACTTGGGTGATCTATTTCATCTACTCGTAAACCCTTTTTAGTCACTTTGCCTAGAAATAGTATAATAGTTGTATTAAGTATGATAATTATTTTGTTATTAGTTATGGCTGATGAGCTACCAAAATTCTCTTCATGTTCACATTCCATAGAGAACAGTGTTGCGCTCTTACTGTGAATCAAGCACTGTGCTAAGGGTTTTCGTAAGATATGTCCCGTCACACAACCACCTTTTCAAATGGGTATTGTTACTCTATTTTAGAATTGAGAAAACATGAGATTTTGAGAAATATCTTCCTCCAGTCACACACCTAATAAGTGGTGGTGATTCTCAGCCTTGGCTCTGTATTAGAATTAACATCTCTCCTGCAAATGTAATCAGCAGATGATTAAATTGTATATAGTGTATGCCATAGATGACTTTTATAGGAAGTCTAAGTTTAATTCCACAGAGCAGTTCTACTTCGTTTATGTCATTGTGCAGTTTTTCAAATACCCAGTCTCTGAAATGTAGATTTGAGCTTCCTGATTCCTTATATCCCCCATCTGTTTTCCCTAGATGTGTGTCCATCTTGATTATCTGAAATTTCCCCCAATTGTGAAAGTGTTCTTATTCTTCTTAAAACCAGATTTGAGTATTTGGGAAAGAGAAGTTTTGGCTTAATCGATTTATACTAAAGATGGTAAACTGGCCAGGCGCGGTGACTCACTCTATAATCTAAGGTAGGCAGATCACGAGGTCAGGAGTTTGAGACCAGACTGGCAAACATAGTGAAATTCAGTCTCTACGTAAAATACAAAAAATTAGCTGGGCATGTTGCCGGGTGTCTATAATCCTAGCTCTTTGGGAGGCTGCGTCAGGAGAATCAACTGAATCTGGGAGATGGAGGTTGCAGTGAGCCGAAGTCACAGCACCACTGCACTCTACCCAGGCTTCAGTGCAAGACTCCGACTTAAAAAAAAAAAAAAAAAAAAAAAAAAAGGTGGCCGGGTGCGGTGGCTCAAGCCTGTAATCCCAGCACTTTGGGAGGCCGAGGTGGGTGGATCACGAGGTCAAGAGATCGAGACCATCCTGGTCAACATGATGAAACCCCGTCTCTACTAAAAATACAAAAAATTAGCTGGGCATGGTGGTGCGTGCCTGTAATCTCAGCTACTCAGGAGGCTGAGGCAGGAGAATTGCCTGAACCCAGGAGGCAGAGGTTGCAGTGAGCCGAGATCGTGCCATTGCACTCTAGCCTGGGTAACGAGAGCGAAACTCCGTCTCAAAAAAAAAAAAAAAAAAAAAAGGTGATAAACTTCATTTAGGATTTGCGAGACAGTTTAGGAAGTGTGACTGAAGAACTGATTGTCTCCTGTGTAAATTTATAGTCCTAGTTCCTAGAGTGCTAGGATAGAGAAACGTTTACACAGGCTTCTTAACAGAACCTGAAGTACTGTGTCTATCATCAGGCCTCCCTTTGCTACTTAAATCCAGAACCTCTCTTGCAAATCATCCGCTCTTAATCTGTATCCGGTCATCCCAGTTTTTATGCCTTAATTTGTATTTTTAAACAGCTTTGTTGAGATTGCATTCCATCCATAAAGTTCACCTGTTTTAAAGTTAAGTCAGTGATTTTTAGAATATTTACAGAGTTGTACAACCATCACAATAATCTAATTGTAGAACATTTTCATCATCCCAAAAAGAAACCTCATTACTGCCCCAGCAACAGCCACCAGCTTAATTTCATCTCTGTAGATTTGCCTATTCTGGACATTGCATGTAAAAGGTATCATACAATATGTGGATTCTTGTGAAATTTTTTCATTTATTTAGCATCATAAAAAGGTTCATCCATGTTACAACATGTTACCAGTACTTTGTTCCTTTTTATTGCCAAATAAAATTCCATCGTATGGATCAACTACATTTTATTAATCCATTCAATTGATGGGTATTTGAGTTTCTCCTTTTGAGATATTATGACTAGAGCTGCTGTGAATATTCATATACAGGTTTTTGTGTGAACATATTTTCATTTCCCTTGGCTATATCTAGGTGTGTAATTGCTGGGTCATAAGTTTGACTTCATTAGCATTTTCAAAAACATTTTAATTTTGTATTTAGTGATGATTTTTAAGAGCTAATTACTTATTTGATGATCTACATGCATTCCTATTTCATGTTTTTTTTTTTCTTTTTTAAAATATAGACTGGATCTTGCTTTGTTGCCTAGGCTGTCTCAAATTCCTGGCCTCAAGTAGGTCTTCTGCCTTGGCTTCCCAAAGTGCTGGGATTACAGGCGTGAGCCACCGTGCCTGGCCTCTTTGATGTTTCTGATGAAGACTGTTTGTTTATTTTGAAACAGAGTCTCATTCTGTCGCCCAGGCTGGAATGTAGTGATGAAATTATGGCTCACTGCAGCCTGGACCTCCCAGGCTCAGTTAATCCTCCTGCCTTAGCCTCCTGAGTAGCTGGGACTACAGGTGTGCCCATCATGCCTGGCTAAGATTCTTTTCAGCTAATGTTGCCTGTGTAGAAATACAAGAATGAGTTCTAATTCGTTTTTTTAACCTATTATGGAGGACATTAGCAGTCATTCGTTCACCTTTTACTGTCAAAGTGGTTAACAGGCTTATAAAACTAGAGAAGAGAAGGGTAAGGTTTCTTTCCTTCTTTTTTTTTTTTTTTTAATCATACTTTGTTCAGATTTTATTTTATTTCAACTACCAGTTTACTACCTAGTAGTAATTCCCTAACTCATTCTCAGCTGTAATTTTTTTTTTCTTTTCTTTTTTTTTTTTTTTTTTTTTTTTTTTTTGAGACGGAGCTTCACTATTGCTACCCAGGCTGGAGTGCAATGGCATGATCTCAGCTCACCGCAACCTCTGCTTCCCAGGTTCAAGTGATTCTCCTGCCTCAGCCTCCCAAGTAGCTGGGATTACAGGTGTCTGCCATCATACCTGGCTACTTTTTTGTATTTTTAGTAGAGATGGGATTTCTCCATATTGGTCGGGCTGGTCTTGAACTCCCTGACCTCAAGTGATCCTCGCCCCTCAGCCTCCCAAAGTGCTGGGATTAATACGCATGAGCCACCGTGTCCAGCCCTCAGCTGTAATTTTTATATGAACTGGAAGTGTTGAGTAAACACTAAAACTCTGTTTGAAAGAACTAAGTGAAGATCAAATGTATTAATTTGGGATTCACTGCTCTTTTTTCCAAGTCCAGTAATCCCCTCATTATATAGAGGAGAAAACTAAAGTCTAGAGCAGGCGTCCCCAAACTTTTTACACAGGGGGCCAGTTCACTGTCCCTCAGACCGTTGGAGGGCCACCACTTACTGTGCTCCTCTCACTGACCACCAATGAAAGAGGTGCCCCTTCCTGAAATGCAGTGGGGGGGCCTTATAAATGGCCTCAGGGGGCCGCAGTTTGGGGACACCTGGTCTAGAGTAATATGGTTGTCTCCACATTAACTAGAGATAGTTCTAGGTGAAACCTCGTCTTCAGTCCAAATCTTTCGATAACCTCTTTGGTTCCCTCCCAACTTTAATCTGTCCCTTCCCTCTAACACACACACACAGTCTCTGAACTGAAAGGTCTTACAATTTTATGTGTGTGTTTCTTTAAATTTTCTGAGTGGGCAGATTAAAAAATGTTAGAAGTAGGGGGAAATGCTG